GTCCCCAAGCACACCCTCTGTGCTTTCTGTGCATGCGTGTCTGGCCTTGCCTGCCTTTTCGGTTTTCGGTGTGAGCTTCAGGAGCGTGGGGGTGTATCAGGTACAACGAGGAAAAGTGAGTTGAGGTCAGGCAGAGCGGGGAGGGGCTGGAAGACACAAATGAGAGGCAAAGTGCTCATTAACCTTTGGGGGCCCACGGCTGAGGACAAGGGCCATGTGGGGGCGGGGCTGACACACTCCTATTAAAGCCCCCTCGGTGCTGGAGGAGCTGCCAGGGCAGCCTTTGCCCCCGGGCAGCGGGCCAGAGACGGAGCTCGCCAGCCAGCACGCCAGGGAGCAGGTTTCTTCTGTGGCTGTCGAGAGGTAGTCAGGTGGGACCAAAGCCATGAAACCCCCCTCAGTGTTGGGGAGATAAAGGGTTTGACCAGGGAGACTGAGAGCCGACTTTGGTTCCCAACACCCACTGCAAGCTCAGCAGCCAGCAGGCCTCGTCCCCAGCACCCACGTCCCCCGTCTTCTGTGCAGTGGTGTGGAGGTGATGGCCGGCGCCCAGCAGCCACCTTAGACCATGAGTTCACCCTGTGGATGGAGGCCATGTGCTGAGGAACCAGAAAGCTAAGACCCTGGATCCTTGATGACAGTCGGAGTCACCGTACTTTCTCCAGGTTGCCTACCTCTGACTTAATGTATAAGAGAGAACCTTGGTATAAAAAAGAGAGGAATAAACTTCTAGCTCCAGTTTTTTAAGCACTGATTTCGGAGGGTTTGGGAGGCATTACCCAACCAAATCAGAGCAATGTTAACTGATGCCCTACAGTCCTGGATTTCTGTACGCACATGCACAGACTTACACATTAATACACACACGCAGCACCTACATGCCTGCACACAAACACATATGCACGTATGCTCACAAACACACACATTTGGAGATTTAAACTGTGAACTCACATTTAAACTACTCACAGCGTTCTAGAAGGTTTAGAAAATGAAGGGGATGAGAATCTCTTGTGACCCCCCTCCACCTCAACAAACAGGCAAGTGGCTATCTTTTTATTCCTGTGCATAGTAGATGGTGAAAATATTTTGTTTAATTTTTTAAAAATTTGGTTCTTGCCTTGGCTGGTGTGGCTCAGTTGGTTGGGGCATCATCCCATGTACTTAAGGGTTGCCAGTTGGATCCCCGGTTGGACACAAACAGAATGCAACCAATTGATGTTCTCTCTCACCTCAATGTTTCTCTCTCTCTCTCAAAAGAAAAAAATCAATAAGCATATCCTCAGGTGAGGATTTTTAAAAATTAAAATTAAATTTGGTTCTTGTTCATCTGGGTTGAAACTCAGGGGCCACCAAGATGCTGGCTTACCACTCTTCTCTCATGAACCCCAACCCCAAACTCATTGGAAATACCGCACTGTCGCCATCAGAAGTCAGTTCAAAGGGCCTGCCCCCAGAAAGACAAAAGAGACAGAGATTGTGGAGGAAGCCATCTGTTACCTCAAGGCCAGTGTCTTCTTCAGAAACTGTGAAATTAAGAATGAAGCTGATATGCCCTGGCTGGTTTGGCTCAGTGGATAGAGCGTCAGCCTGTGAACTGAAGGGTCCCAGGTTTGATTCTGGTCAAGGGCAGGTGCCCGAGTTGTGGGCTCGATCCCCAGTTTGGGGGGTGGGGGGTGTGCAGGAGGCAGCTGATCAATGATTCTCTCCTGTCATTGATGTTTCTATCTCGCTTCCCTCTCCCTTACTCTCTGAAATCAATAAAAATTAAAAACAAAACAAAACATGAAGCTAATAGAACCTTGGTATAAAAAACTCTCTACATTTCTGAGTATTTACAGAAACTCCAAAAGTGCAATTCCAAAAGCCAAGGTGAGCAAAAAGTGTCTAGTTCCTGGGCATCAGTAATTTCCTGCTTCCTGTAGAACCTGGTTTTCCACTTAACACGATGTAGGCCTGTCCTGCAAACACACAGGAAGACGAAGGGCAGAGGGCCGGTTGGCAGCAGCTGTGGCAAGAGGCTGGCCTGAGACTCAGTGAGGAAGTTTTTGACCCTCAGAACGATGAACCCAGCGAGTGGCCGAGTGGCTTTGTGAAGAGACAGTATATGAACAAAGAGTCCTTCGGGACCCGGACGGTGAAGGGAGCCAGGCAGACAATGGTCCCCTGGCCGTGGGCAGCGTTTCACAGCAAACGCCTTGACTTCATAAAGTTTTATACAGAGGAGAGACGCGAACATGTCTTTATTTGAAAAGTTCACTATCAAGAATTTGGGGGGGAGGGAAGAATGAGTTGTCAGAGGATGGTTTGAAATGTTCTGCGGTATTAAGCTGTTACTTAATAAGCAGTGATAAAGAATTTCTAACACTTACAAGTTGGTTCTTGAATTTTGCCGATAAGTTAGGCAACCTCTCTTAACTTCTGGGAAATGCTTCAAAAACAGGATAGAACAGAAAGTTTTTATTTGCAAACATTATTAACCATTTCCTGTTCCAACCTCAAAAGTACCGGTGACTCGGCCGGCCAGTGGCAGGTCCCACCCCACCCGCTGGGAACAGCTCGGGGACAGGGTCACTGACATCACCCCACCAGCTTCTTCAGAACCAGTTTCGGGATGATCCCCCTGCTTCCTGTGTTTCTCTGTGAATGGAAACTGCCTCCGGAGAGCTCGGGGGATCCCCTCTCCCCCACTTTCCATCTGTGCTGGCTCATGTTCCCCTCCGCCTGCTGCCGCCGTGTGTGTGTGCGCGTGTGTGTGTGTGTGTGTGTGTGTGTGTGTGTGTGTGTGTGTGACCTTGGGGCTGGCGCCTTGGAAACTCTAAAGCACCTGTCCCCAGAGCAGGAGGCTGCGAGTCCCGCGGGCACTTCTCCAGCCCCCAGGACCCTCCTGATAGAAAGAGGGGGCGCCACCCTGCAGAGAGCCTCGGAGGGGGGCCTGCTTCCTGAGCTTTATCATTAGGCCCCGCAGATGGCAGCCAGCTACCGGATAAAGGGGTTAGACCACAGGTAGAGGAACATGCGCACCGCAGCCCCGGCACCCGCAGGGACCACTCCTGTGGTCAAGGCTGACGGCAACACTGACACCACACACCCCTGTGCCCGCAGCACCATCACCAAAACTCAACAGGAAGGGCCAGGCCGCCGCTCAGCTCCCACCACTCCCAGCTCTGCTCTCCGGGAAGGAACCCATGGGAGACACGTGCTAGTGGGAGAAGAGCTCAAGGCCGCGTGGCCCAGCCCAACAGCCACACTCAGTCATTCGTTCACATGCGTCACAGAAACACGCAGTCCCCGGGGCGGAGGACAGGGAGGTGGGCGAGGGACCAGCAGGGGCCCCGTGGTGATGGAACCGGCACAGGGCTGACGTGCACAGCAAACACACACACAAATTAAGTCCTAAAACGGGCTCTGAGCAGATCAGTGGTTGTGCCCAGGCCAGCGTCCTGGCTGCGAGGTGGACGGGGCTCATACACAGGGTCCATTGAGGAACCTGGGCCGAGTGCGCAGGGTCCGCTCTGTCAGCTCTCACACTCTCAACAGCCCAAGACGACCGGAGAGGAGCACCCCCCTTCTCCAGGGGACACCACACAGAGCTGGGGTGTGGGCTGTACCTGACGACCCCGCCCGGACTACCTGCCACGCCTGAGGGTGAAGCCAGGACAGGGAGCAGGAGGAGAGGGCCAGCAAGCTGGAGACACAGGACCGGGGAGATGGCGCCCCTGACCTTCCCACCTTTCTCCAACCAGGACCCTGGTCCTGCTCCTAAGGAGATGGTGAGGGAGGCAGTGTGATGGGGACCACGTGTGTGCATGGGGTTTGCATGTCTGGGGGGACAGTGTGCTGATAAGCGGTGGGGATGCATCACCCCAAGATGCCCAGGCCTCCTGTCCCTGTCCTGCCTGTGCCACACCCTCTCCAGTCATCCTGCTGGTCCTGCCCACCCCAGTGATATTAGTGATGCAATGCGTAGGTCTCAATGTGGGGGCTCTTCTAGGTCCCCACCTCCTTTCACAGTCTCTGGGTCCTTCCCTTCCCCCTGTACCCCCCCCTGCCAACCCAGAACCTCCCAGTGCCCAGTGCCCCTTTCAGCCTCCTGTCTATGTCCCCTCCTGCCCACTGTTCCTGAGGGAGGAGTTATAGGGGAGAGGGAGGGATAAATGAGGAGGAAGGACTGGGCGGGGGAAGGGGTCAGCAGGAGGGAGCAGAGTAAAGGGAGGGGACAAGAGGGAGGGGGAGGGGAAACAAAGCAGAGACCAGGGAGGTGGACAGGAGGGACTCAGTCCCCTGGCTTTGGGCCCCCTGTGGACACCCCAAGCTCTTGCAGATAAAGTCACAGGAAGGTGGCTGCTGGGATGGTGAGGAGACCCCTCCCAG